TCGTTAAAGAGTTAAAGATAAAAGACTTTTGGCCCCTCTGAGCCCCTAATTTGAGGGGTCAGTCCCTTTTTCTTGACATCAAATGAATGGTCTTGTGATTTTGAAGACTTTTTGTTCAACAACTATTCAGAGATTTCTTTTCGTTGTGGAGATATGCTGAATGGAAATATTTAGGGGCTAGCCCTTCAAGTCCTTAATGGGGCTGTTTTGCAAAATTTGGAAGGTTGCATTTTGTTTAGAACATTATTCTTCACATCTTTTGTTCACTATTGCTTATCAAAATATTCCCCCTTTATGAGATATAAAGCATCGAAGATTTAGCATTCTGGCCCCTTTTGGCCCCTTATTATGTAACATATTATCAAAATTTTGAAACATATAGTTGCAAATCGTTAAGATAAGCATCTTTGCTTTAGTAATGTATTACAAAATATTGATCGTTCAAGAGTTATACTTGAAAGAGTTTTGGCCCCTCTGAGCCCCTAATTTGAGGGACCAGCCCCTTTTTATTGATATAAAATGAATGGTCTTGTGATTTTGAAGACTTTTTGTTCAACAACTCTTCAGAGATTTCTTTTCATTGTGGAGATATGCTGAATGGAAATATTTAGGGGCTAGCCCTTCAAGTCCTTAATGGGGCTGTTTTGCAAAATTTGGAAGGTTGCATTTTGTTTAGAACATTATTCTTCACATCTTTTGTTCACTATTGCTTATCAAAATATTCCCCCTTTATGAGATATAAAGCATCGAAGATTTAGCATTCTGGCCCCTTTTGGCCCCTTATTATGTAACATATTATCAAAATTTTGAAACATATAGTTGCAAATCGTTAAGATAAGCATCTTTGCTTTAGTAATGTATTACAAAATATTGATCGTTCAAGAGTTATACTTGAAAGAGTTTTGGCCCCTCTGAGCCCCTAATTTGAGGGACCAGCCCCTTTTTATTGATATAAAATGAAAGGTTTTGTGATTTTGAAGACTTTTTGTTCAACAACTATTTAGAAATTTATTTTCGTTTTCGAGATATGCTGAATTGAAATATTTAGGGGCCAGTCCTTCAAGTCCTTAATGGGGCTGTTTTGCAAAAATTGAAAGGTTGCATATTGTTTAGAACATTATTCTGAACATTTTTTGTTCACTATTGCTTATCAAATTATTCCCCCTTTATGAGATATAAGGCATCGAAGATTTAGCATTCTGGACCCTTTTGGTGCCTTTTTACGTAACATATGATCAAAATTTTAAAAGATATAGTTGCAAATCGTTAAGATAAACATTTTTGCTTCAGTAATTAATAACAAATTATTGATCGTTCAAGAGTTATACTTGAAAGAGTTTTGGCCCCTCTGAGCCCCTAATTTGAGGGACCAGCCCTTTTTTCTTGATATCAAATGAAAGGTCTTGTCATTTTGAAGATTTTTTGTTCAACAACTATTCAGAAATTTATTTTCGTTTTCCAGATATGCTGAATTGAAATATTTAGGGGCCAGCCCCTCAAGTCCTTAATGGGGCAGTTTTGCAAAAATTGAAAGGTTGCATATCAATATTCTGACCATCTTTTGTTCAGTATTGCTTATCAAAATATTCTCTCTTTTCGAGATAGAAAGCGTCAAAGATTTAGCATTCTGGCCCCTTCTGGCCCCTTATTACGTAATATATGATAAAAATTTTGAAACGTATAGTTGCAAATTGTTAAGATGAACATTTTTGCTTCAGTAATTTATAACAAAATTTTGATCGTTCAAAAGTTATATATGAAAGACTTTTGGCCCCTCTGAGCCCCTAATTTGAGGGATCAGTCCTTTTTTTCTTGATATCAAATGAAACGTCTTGTCATTTTGTGCATCTTTTGTAATATATGTTTTAACAAAATATTTACAGGTAAAAAGATATAAAAGAAAACGTGTCAAATTTTGCGAGATGTTTGTGAGCCTATTTTTGGAGCCCAGGCGAGCTTCAGCGCCTTTTGAGCTGGAAACATATAGATGCAAAATGGCACATCTACAGTCTTTCCTCTATTTTCACTGAAAATCTTATCCCTTTATCTCTTTTCGTTTAGGAGAACACCCCAGGACAAGCCGACCCTCTGAAAATCAGAAAATCGTCCATATCTCACGACCGGAAGTGACGTCATCAAAAAACAAAAAAACCTATCAAGATCAGTTGATTATCTTTCACAGCTGAAAGTTTGATGTAAATCGGCCCAGCCGTTTCTGAGAAATCGCGTGCACAAAATCGGTTGGAAGAAAAAAAATAATAAGAAGAAGAAGAAGAATAGGGAAAAAGAAACCGAACGAAAACAATAAGGTCTTCCGTTGGAGACGGAAGACCTTAATAATAGAAAACAGACGGAAAATAATAAGATCTTCCGAAGGAAGTCGGAAGACCTTAATAAAAGTGAAAAAGAAACCTAAGAATAACAAGAAGGTCTTGAAGACGGAAGACCTTAAAAATAATAATAATAGGGAAAAAGAAACAGAACAAAAACAATAAGGTCTTCCGTTGAAGACGGAAGACCTTAATAAATAAATGAATTTCGAGGAAGCACAATTTAGGCAGAAACATAAATGTCTCTAATTTAAGTAACTCAGTACTGCAGGCATTGGAATAAAGATCATAAAGAATCATCATGAGTATTTTCTCGGATATGTGCACTGTATTCTTTTTTACTTAAATTTAATTTACCCCTGTAGAAAAGTTTTAGGAAAAGATAGTCTTCTTTACCTGGCTCAGATTTTAAGAATTAATAAACAAAGCAACTGTTATCATATTTCTTTATGCCATTCTAATTTGCGTTTTTTGTCAATGAGAAAAGGTTAAAAAAAAATCACTCTTGAAATAAAGCCAAAATTATAAAATGTGTGTCTCTTGGAACAGCCTACAAAATCGATGTTGGTAGATTGGGGTTCTTTTCAGTGTGTAAATACTTAATTTTAAATGGTAACGTTTCAATTTTATTACCTTTCTATGCATGATTTTTTTTTTCCAAGGAGCGTATACATGTACATGCACTTATATTACACATAATATAGCGTTAGAACATGAATCTACATGAGCAGCAGAAGGGCATGATGCAGGAGTGTCTCAGTTTTTCCCTTGATATTCCCAGTGGCTCGATGGCCAAGTCACATCAGAGGATACGATTAAGGAAAATAAGGAAAGTCTTGGGAAATTAATTCAGGTTCAGATTAATTTAAGTTGCGCTTTAAAACTTCTTTGCTGTCGTAGTAGGCGGCTAAGAACTAAAGTCAAAAGAAAATTTTTTATCCATCTTCTTTAGGAATAATTGTTAAAGCTATATATGGCGTATCTGAGCTAAAAAATAAAAATACGAGATTGGGTGTAGTTTAACATGATATATGTTATTTACGTTGAAATTAAATAACCTCATGTTTCCATAGTTCGACTGATTAAAAAAATTAAACTGTGTCTGTTAATTAAAATCTGAATCGGTAAATAAATCGGTTATTGTTTTAAATTTCTAATATCTTTGAAACGTGATTGATTTAAATTGTGAAATTTACAGGAAAGTCCTATTTTTATATAAAGTAATAAAACAAATAGAAAGATCTTTTTAATTTAGGTAGTCTGAACTTATATAAAAAAATACGCAATATATGACTTTAAATAATTCTTACGAATATTTCTCAGTGGTTAGAATTTTTTTTACAGACATTATACAAATGTAAAATAATACAGGCACATAGCACCAGGAGGGCCGTCCCCTTCCACTTTTTTCCCCAAACATTGAAAAGGCGCACCCTTGACCCCTCTTCCACCTTTTGTTGCAGTATGGTACGTCAAATCATCCCACGAGAATGTATTATAATATAAAATATGTTTGTCGGAAAGGTTGTAATCCCTCCTTCAAAGAAATGAAATTGTTGAGTTTGGATAGCCCCTTTTTCCCCTTGTCAAAGATTGTTCAGATAAATCGTCGATTTTTTTTTCTGTCCTCCACCCCCCCCCCCCCTTTTTTTCAAAAGCGATACTGCTGCCTGTAAAAGCTGAGAAAATAATATAACATTCCACCACTGTTTATTCTGTGACATTAATGAAGCCAAAGAGATGACATTTCAGGCTTTCTGGAAAGCCAAACTTGTTCATCTTTAGTTTATAAGCATGAAACAATCATACCTTCTCTCATCGAGTTTACTACAAGGTGTATCGAAATTTGTTAACTTGTGTTTAAAATGTTTTTCACTTTCCATTCGATGCTTAAAGAATAAAGAAGTTCTTAATTTATAGGAATTTGTTTCTCTTTTCCATCAGATATAGCAACCAGTAGAAAGCCGAGTGGCGTACTACAAGCTAATTCCCCAGACATTCACACGATACAAAAGTGTGTGTGAAATTTGCATTAAACCAGTAAATCTCGGCACACAAAAACTATTGACAATTTCCAATAAATATGCAAATATTTGGTTTTTTTCGATGATCTATAAAAAATTTACAGCTATTTTATATAGATAAAACATGCTTCACGGGGCATGTCACTTTTTCGCACATTTACATTACATGGGGATTTCTTTTTTGTGGAATTAAAAATTGCACTGTTGTAGCGCACAAATATTTATGATAATTTACCTTCCGCTACAATAATCATGAAACGTCATATGGCGAAATTTTGAATTAAATTGGAGGGGTCAGAACAAAGTCAAGAACGGCAACGTCATTGAACGTCTTGGAGCACCGCGCTATTAAAAAAATATGTGTGTAGACTAGAAAATACCCGAAAGAGCCTAAAATGTTGTAGATGCTTCTGGGAATTGCCTACACGTATTTAGGACCAAATTGTTCAAATTGTAGTAGCTTAATAAGAATGGAAGGATTGACATTTTTGATGATCAACTCTTGTGATACTCCAATACACCGCTTATCGCATGGACGTTGCGCCTATGGATTTTGCATTATTTCTATATACTATGTAGACATTGATTTTAAGATCTCACTAATATCCGATACGCCACAATAAGACATTTTAGAATAAAAGTAACATGTCTTTATACAGTTATTTAATTTTTAAGTAAAAAAAAAAACATGAAAAATCTACAGAAATGAAAGATATTTAGAACTGTGAAAAGGCTTAACAATTTTGGAAATAGGTTGTCACGTCACCTAACGTTAAGCGATTGCTCCGTGAATCCTATGACCGCACAATATAAATCATTGTAAATTTTCAAACTTTTAGTAAATAAACCTAATCTTTTTACATACTAATAAACAAAAGATAAGAAATTAATCAGACATACGTCATTCTTCAAAATACACATTCCGCCGAAACATGGCTGAAATATTGCCGACTCGGCGTAAAACAACAATAATCAATCAATCAATCAATCAAAATACACATTACATTTTCCGTAAATGAACGTGTCCGCGAACTTTTCTAACATCCTTCGTATATTTTTTAAAGAAAAAAAAAACAAAAAAGAGTAGACTTGTCCATTCCTAAACATTTGCTGTGCATGTATATGCTCTCTTCATCTGACTATCACTCCTCGTTAAGTTGTGAAGTTAGATTGCTTGTATCAGTCGCAGATCCCACTCTACCTAAATGATTTATAAAGCTCTGAGGTGCAATTGATACAATGAAATTAAAGCATTTTAAAAATTCTTGACTGCTGATGCTTATAACAATCAGTATATATTTCATTATTATCATAATTCCATTTTTGCTCTCCACAATAATTATATCTTTGAAAAGGCACCGCAAGTACATCATCATCTCGCAGTAATATTAAAAATTGATAATCTCGTCAATACTTGAAAAGTTCATAGGTTTCTTACCACTAGGATAACTGGTAGCTTGATTCTGTTCTGTTCTGTTTATTTCCAGGACATACTTTATAGGAGAACACACTGGACAATCATTCCTAGTACAGTACTTCCAATGTGTAATAATCTGTCTGGACGACACACAATATGCAACTGGGGAAGAGCATGATTCAGTAAGATATAATTTAATGAAGATGTTATTTCTCGATGTACTATATCTCTATTTAAGATACTGTGAAACCACGAATTTTCATTGGGGTTTAATTTTCGTTGTTTTTCGTTGTTTTCGATGTATGAAGAGACCCATGAATTCACCACGAAATGTAAAATGTCATATACAGAACTACTCAACAATTCTACATCCACGAAATAAAAACCCCACAAACCCATAGTTTTTCTTCAAACCACGAAATTTGACCCCACGAATATATGTGATTTTACAGTATCTTAACTGATACAAATTTTCCTTACAATTGAGTAAATCGTTCTATACTGAAAGGAAAAAGAAACGCAGGGTAAACTTTTTAGGTAAAATAAGGTTATATATTTCAGACGTATTTTCCAGTTTTCCTATCTAACATTTAAAATCATCTTTAATAAAAATGTAACCAAAATCTCGTTTGATTTTCTCCAATAATTCATGACGATACTCCTAAAAGTGAAAAATGAAAATTCTCATTATCTCACTTGTCTCCCTCGCGCATTTGTCACAGCCTTGATTCTCCAATGCATGGAGTTCATCAGTGTGTTTATCCTTCTAATAGGGATATTATTCAACAGTTCCGAGAAGGCAGCCTTTAGTTGATTGAGACCAGCTTGGACATTTTAAACCCTATCGTCCACGTAGTCCCACAGACGTTTGATGCGAAAAAGATGGACTTGACGGAGACCAGTCAAGTGGATAAATGTGATTGTTTGCTAGAAAATCTTGACAAACCCTGGCAGCATTGGAAGGGGGGTTAACATGCCCCCAAAAACAGGCAAACGACGCATGCATGCACGAGTTAGAGGAACACTAACGTAAAGTTGACGAGCTCACAAACCAAAATCGCGCTATCGATTTTCTTAAGTTTTGGGGTGAATGTAACGATTATGATAGCCTGCTGTATAGCAGTTTTAGGGTAATGTGATGGTGATTATACAGGTGGCAGGATGAATAGCCCGATCTTGACGTGGCGCTGTTACGCGTCAACGTCATCGTCGCGGTTGGTTGGAAACCTTTCTACACCCTCTCTTAGAACGGCTAAGAGGTTCTATTGTGGAAAAATTCACAACAAACTGCACAGAAACCTGTCGTTGCCTTTATCTTTACTTAGGCAATGGAAAAGCCAGACCCCATGGTACTTCCGTCTACCGTACCTTGATTTCAAGAAATGCAAATCGACTATAAATATCGAAAAAAATGTGAATAACTTTTTTTTTTGCAGCTACGAGATGTGTTGAAAAAATGTCGTCTTTGATATGCACGTGATTTAGGCTTTTTACAACTTTCCTTATGTGATGTCATACATTTCACGGTTGACTAGTTCTGAACACTGATTTTAATGCACAGAAACCAAGTTATCCCTCTGACCAATTTTCATAATTTTCGATAATACAGTCAAAATTTTTTCGCATATTAAGTTACCAAGCGTTTCTTTTTCCTTTCAGTATATATTAAACGTTAACATTTAACAATCAACATCTAACATGATTTCTGATACAGATCTTAACTTAAAAATCTTATAAAAACACTTATAAAACACTGGTTTGACTGATTGATTGTGTTTTGTTTTACGTCCCATTCGCGAATTTTTCACTCATATAGGGACATCATCATATAGCGGCTTCAAATTTAGACGTACATGCATACTTGACACTCAGGGCCATTGAGCAGCGAGGGTTCTTTATCGTCCCCAAGCTTACACGGGACCTTGGTTAATAAAGTCTCATCCCAAAGGCCCTTGACTTTCACTTCTAAGCCGGGCGCTTGGCGAGGGAACAGTCACTAGTACCTTTATTTACGTCTTAGCTTTTACGTGGCGCGGCAAACGAGAATCGAAGACTGGTCTACCGATCACGAAGCGTACGCCCTACCATTAAGCTACCGTGACCGGTAACACTGCTTTGAAGGCATGTTTTGAACATATTTATTGTATAATTAATAACGGAATTGGTTACAAGTTCTATCAACTTGGGAAAATCTTTCCCTGTAATATACACAATAATTATAATAATAATGATTGTGGAACGAATTATTTACAGTTGTAATGGAATTGTAAAGTTATATATATATTAGGGATGGCAATTTGTAACCGGTTAACAGATTACTCGGTCGGAACGATGGCAATCGATTAGAAAATCTGTAATCGGTTAATCGGGAAAAAAAATTGTTGAATTGAACACATTTTTTAAAAATTTATTTAGAAAAAAAATCTCAGCACAAAGGATGATCATTTAGGATTTAACGGATCTAATTTGGATACATGTAATTATGAATCTCCAGACTGAGACCGTAGCGTAATTGGTCAGTTTATGTAGTGTTAATTACTGTGAAAACGCCATGTCGTTACCCCTAGTTTGTTTTACTTCTTTAATGATAATAATTGAATCGTTGAGTACTGTGAATTGGCGTGTTAATTTGTCGTTTTTCAGTTTTCCATCCAATCCAATTATTAAAAAAAATATTGTAAATTAAGGGCTATAGAGTTCACATGTAGTTTTGATTATCATAGTGAAGATGCAGAAAGAACATTTGTGACATCTGCTCTGGAAAATTATCAAAAATTTCTTAGGCTTTTTTCATGGTTTTCTCAATTTTTTTCTTGTCTACTGGAATTTAAATAAAAAAATATGTACCCGTAGTCTTCTAATCCAGAATCAAGACTAATGGAATGTTTTAACTTCTATCGTCTTATTTGGGTCTATTTGTGTACATATGGACAGGGCTACTTGAAAAACAATTAGTTGTTAAAAAAAAAAAAAAAAAAAAAAAAAAAAAAAAAAAAAAAAAAACGTGCATTTTGATACGATTACCCGGCTAATCGGTCGGAACGTCTTGCGGTTAACCGATTAGCAATTCTGTAATCGATTGCCATCCCTAATATATATATATATATATATATATATATATATATATATATATATATATATATATATATATATATATATATATATACACACACAAAATATTTCAAAGACACTTATTAAGGGTCTGTAAAGATGCATGTAAATGATTACATAATGATAACAATGCTTTTGAAATATATGGAGATAACGAACAGTTTTCAAGCTCAAAAGTCCATTTAACAATACAAAATGGGAGCAGAGCAAACACGGACCTCCAAAACATCAAAGGTCGGATCTGGTGCCATGGAGGAGTGAGCATCCCCAGCTGACCGGTCACACCCGCCATGTGGTCCTTGTCATAATTTAAAAATAACGGAACAATCCTTCGACAATTCAGTGTGTAAATAATGGCCTAACAATACGTTCTATTTCCACTATGGAAGAGTTATTATAATACTTCTTAGTGCGCTCTTTTGTGAAAAAGTCGGAAAATGTACAAATCTCGCGGGATTTCTGGGATAAACGTAACATAAACATGTAAACAATATGTTGAATGCCGATGAACATTTCCTAAGAAAATGCAAATGAAATATTTTATTGTTGTGGACTTCATATACATCAAGAGTAGGAATGACAACGAACAACGATATCAAGTCAAAATCTATTGTTGATCGTATGCATCTATTTATCGTATGGTACTTCTAAATACAATACACATGCCTCGGAAATGTCGTATTTTTTATTAATGGATGATAAATTTAGGGTTCTCGCTCTCTCACATATGTCTTTTAGTTCTTCTATTCTTTAACTGGAATGACAAATACATTTAACATTTAAAATTGGATTGAGATTGGCATGTTTTGTATTATCCGCCACGCCATGCTGTCCCAGTCAGACGACCAAACGCGCCTCTAATTTTGAAGAGTTCACTAATGGAAATAAAACGTATTAGTATGAAAAACATCAGTGCTCTGGACTTTAGAGCTCGAATACTGTTCGTTATCTCCACATTTTTCATTAAAATGATGAATACACGGCGGTCATGACCTGTCTACATTCTGGTGTTTTCAAGGGTCCCTGTGTATTTCTTGTAAATTTTTGTATTGTTTACAAGATTTCTAAAACTGATCAGAGTATTCTATCTTTAAATAAAGCCTGCTAAACTAACAACAGTGAATTAGTGAATTTTGTAAATTCACAAGCATTTTTAAATTTACCTTTACAAGACTTTCCTGCATTACAGGTTGTCATATGATTTAGCACATTCTTCATTGTCCTACAGTGGGGTAGGAAGCACACTTCTCCATTGGTCTGCTCATGCCTCCGACACTTGTTTGCATGTAGTAACAGCACTAATTGTTGTTGAATAAGTTTTCGTTTTTCTAGGTCAGCAGTTGGTGGCTGTTGACTCATCTTCAGTCTTTTTGTGGTTGTATTTTATTCAAGAACCAAACGGAATACTAGGATGTCATCAACCAAAAAATGGCCGCTAAGAGTGAAATTTCGGGTGTTGCTAAAACGCGGAACGGAAAACGGAACGGAAAGCGGAACGGAACGGAAAACGAAAAATTTGATGTCAAGTTTTCACTAAGAACAGGAATAATTCAGACTTAAGAAGCAATATTCTTTATCTAATACATGTAGATCATATCTACTTACAAGTTATGGTAACAATGTGATTTATTCATGATATTTTTTCCTCAAAACATATGGCATATATACATGCAATGGTCAATAAAATACACATTAATTAGACTCATATCCCATTATCTATCAGAATGTCTAACTTCATGCGCGGATCTGGGGAGGGGGGGGGGGGTTACGCCCCCCGGAATTGGCAGAGTTATTAAATATACTAGATGAAATCCCAAGCAAGCGCGGGGAATTGAATTTACACCACTACCGACAGAAAATATATTGTAGTTTCTACTGGCAACCTACAGGCTTATATTAGGAATACTTTGTTCAAAATCCCACAGGAAGTAAATGTACGTCTCCACCCCACCCCACCCCCTTTTTGTGAAATCTTGAAAAATAACAATATCATTTAATTGACATTTATTGTGAAACCTGTTATACAATGTTATGGATATTGTACTTCAGATGCTCTTATTTCATTTCCGCCAAGGATAAAAGGAGTGAATATGCACATTTTATTGATAAATTGATTTTTATTTGGGGGGGGGGGGGTCACAGGTACTTGGGTCTTAGTTTATAAATATGTTTGTACCTTATTGATATGTAAAAAATGTACTTTACCTTTTTTACATATCAATAAGGTACCCGGTACATACATATTTATATACCAATACCCGAGTACCTGTGTAAAAATTAGCTGTTTAACGCCCTATGAATAGGCCGAGTATTTGATACAAAAGACTGTATTCAGAAAAAAAACTGAAATGTATTGATTAAAGCACAAAATTTTACAGCTTAAATTATATTTGAACAATACCTTATTCATTAATTTTCTCTTTCCATGTAAGCAAGTTTATTACGAAGTACAAATTGTACTTCGGGTTCGTTGCCACGATGCTCTCATTAAGGAAAATACAAATTTTACCGATAAATTTATTAGAAAAACCTACTACATAAATGTAATAGTCTTTCGATATATAAATATATTCACAACTTATAGTGTTATCAATGATTTACCATTATTTCAATGACCATTCACACAAAAGCTTTTTTTTATGTTCATGCAGCTACAATCGCCTCGTTTTTCTTTTTAACATCGGGCTCGATGCTATATGATGTTCTAGAAGCTTCCGTCAATATTAAGATTGGCGAATGACGAAAATAATTTGCACATTTCCATTTTAAATCGGTTATCACAACTTATTTCTTTTATATCATTTAAATCAAGTTTTGATTGAATAATAAAGTGATGACGTTTTATGAAATAAATAAATGATTGCTTGTTGTCAGTTTCATTAAAAACTGCAAGTAACTTAGATCCGCCAACCGGAAACGCCACCGTACTCACGTTTTTGCTATTTCATGGCTGTTTATAGAAAATAAAAGTAGACTTTTTATTTAATGTGCGACACTTAATATGTGAGTGAAATCTAAATATAGTTTACGGACATCATCTTGTATATAGTGTATTGTTAGAGGAGTAAGTAAGAACTCTGGTGCACCCGTTTCGGACTTTATTTGCAAAATTTATTAATTTATAAGTATAGATATACTAAACCAACTTAAAGTGAGCTTGGACCACCCCCCTCGAAAACGCGGATCTGTATAAAGTTGGCACGAAAAGTCATAAGTATTAAGCTTTAGAAGTCAACGACTACCCCCCCCCCCCCCGCCTCTCCCCGAAATAGGTTTTTCACGTTTGGGAAAGGACTTTACGGGTGGTTTCTTTTTTTTGTTTTTGTTTGTTTGTTTGTTTTTTTTTTTGGTTTTGTTTTGCTTGTCAAGAATTTTCTAGGTTGGAATTTTTTTTGACTGGGGTGGATCCCCCCCCCCCTTCTGGAAAAAATTCCTGGATCCGTGCCTGCACTTATCACTCATCCAAATCTGAATTTAAAAAATTTTTTTCGCTCAAAACATATTACATGTATATATGTACTGCATTAGATATTTTCTGTTCCGTTTTCCGTACCCTGTGCTTTGTCTATGTTCAGACATCTTCATAAATAAGAGAATGAACATGACTAAATCAACTCGTATTTTCATAATTAAGGATTAAATGAAAAAATTATATGATATTTACTGTTTCTGGTATTATTTTTATATTTTAAGGGATTTAACCTGGAATCATACTTTCCGTTTTCCGTTCCGTTCCGCTTTCCGTTCCGTTTTCCGTTCCGCGTTTTAGCAACACCCTGAAATTTCTACTTTCGATTTCAAGATAAAAATCGTTTCGGAAGACCTAACTTTAAAATTGTATACCAATTTTCATTGCTTCTTATAATGAAGAAATTGTTTGCGTGTGAGTAATAATTTATCAATAATTTTTTCTTTATTTTCAATATATTGGAATAAATGTACATTTTCTACACAATCATAATATTATAAATGAGGTAAAGTTCATATTGCTTGGCTAAAGTGAAACGAATTTGAAATAGATATTATCTTTAACATTCTTGTTTCTTTTGAATTGCTAAAGATGATATAAAAAACATTTTTTTACTTGTATTCGTATATATTGACAGAGAAAATATCTTTGGAAAACAAAAAAACGCTCTTTCAGTTAGGTTTTGTATGGTACTGTTTTGTTTCTTCTTGTTGTTTTGTTGCTGTTGTTGTCAGTTAATTGCCATTAGTTAGCATGTAAATTCCTCTGTTCACATAAAAAGTAACAATATTGCAGCATTCCCTTCCCTAATATATACATGTATATTTAAACTTCGTAAAAATTGAAGATAACGAAGTGATCAATCTCATAAATCAGTACAGAATAGGAATCGTGAAAAGGGCAAAGACACGGACCCCAAAAAAACAGAGGTAAGGTCAGGTGCCTAGGAGGACTAAGTTTCCAATGTCGACTGGTCACACCCGCCGTGAACCCTCTACATTGATCAGGTATATAGACTTTTTTCTTTCCAGTTAGAAACGAAATCGAATTGATAGATTAAAATAATACTTCATACATAATTTTAAAGCCCTTAGGCCTAGAGAGGCTTTTTATTATAACCTCAGTGCTTACGCCCAGGCCAAGTCTTAATTTGCCATAAAAATCAACATATATTTAGAGGCTCTCTGATTCAGAATAGTAAAATCTCAAATTGGCAGATATCATTGATTAGAAATGTGTAGATAGAATGCTGACTTTAAGTTCTTCCATTTGGCGTCCCTCAAGAGTCTGTTCTTGGACGTAAACTCTACTGTTTGTTTTCCAAACGTATTGGGGCCATCTGTAGACAACATGGAATGTACTACCACTGTTATGCAGACGACTCGCAAATTTACCTCGTTATAATACTAATGGAAGAGTGGAATAACTATTTCTCAAGATTAGAAGCGTGTATAACAGATATTAGTTCATGGATGGCTACGAACCTGTTGAAACGTAACCAGGACAAAACGGTGCTAATTATTTTCTCTTCCAAACACAACGCAGCAAACATTCCAATATGCCATCTTAAAGCTGGAGAAAAGACATTTCTGTTGCATCGCTCGTCAAGAACCTTGGTGTTTATTTCGATTCCATCTGACATTTGAGAGTCATGTGTCATCTATTGTGAAGACATGTTACTTTCATATCAGTAATAGCATCGAGAATTTTCTTTTTGTAAAAGTCTGTCTCGGATAAAACCATAAATAATCTCAAAAATTGTTCGGAAGGAGGGTCAGAGATTTTTATATGAATTTATTTTTGTAGATTTTCTTAGTACATGCTATTCAAAGTTTAAAAATTATAATAACAGAACCGTTATTCATAGGATCTTTAATATTCTTTCACGCTTATGTCCGGGCTTAAAAACTTGCACGTTAAGTAAATAGAGGATATTCAATGTTTTGTAGTTGGATATTGAATTGAAGCACGAGTGAAAATATCAGAACACCCTGTTCACGAGTGAAATAAATTCCATATCCAACTACAAGAACATTGAATTTTCTATTTATTACTTATTCTTTGAATTTCCCTTTGCCTCTGTCTTTTCTTAACACAGTATTCATGAATAAATGATTATATGACCGTTGCTAATTAATATTCATTATATTTGAGATATAATTTATAATTCCGAATAATTAAATTATCATTATTCTTATATGAAATTAAAAAAAAAATTAAAGTAATCATAATCTCATCATGTTCTGACAAAATTTCAGTGTAATAAGTGTAATATATTTATTTTAAAACTGAAAGTACAATAATACACTTTCAAAAGGCGTTCCTCTTTCACACAACTTTTCTACTTGAATATAAAGAGGATCTGCTTCATTCTTTAAACTCCAAAGGAACCATCAACTTTCGTCAGACTGTATTCCGATTCAGGACACGACAAAAGATAGAAGTAAATGAGGAAGGAATTATTCTGAATGGGTGATATTTCTTATCTCTGTTTTTATTTTCTGGATTTTATTTAAAATAGCATATTGAACTGAAATTTGCCATATTGAAAACAATCTGGCCGCTATGCAAATTAGCAAAAATGTATATCATTTCTCCAAATGACGTAAATTCTTCATTTTAGAACATTTTTTAATCGGCGATTTCTCCTAAGATAGAGTGACAACACTTTTAATTCCATGTAATTATGATTTAGACATTCTAAAAGCAAATAATAAAACATTTGACGTTTTTTTTTTTGCATGTTTGAATTTTCCTAATTTATGGACATTTTTAAAGGAAACAATTTATGAAAATAGTCAACAAAACTTAGTGTCGTTTATGCCAATATGGCACCGAAAAGGATTAATTGGAGGAGTGGGGGTCCCAAATACTGAATTTTTGCATAATTCATTTAAGAAAGCTTTCATTTTCCATAAAAATTGCCATGCG